TGAGGCTTTAAGTAAAAGGCCTCATAATAAGTAAAAATTTGTTATTTTTTCCCCAGGTAGTTAATATTTTCCTTCCCAAGGTGATAAATGAATCATGTAAAAACTAAATTAATTCAACTCAAAAGGCCCTGGGCTACCATTTCATAAAGCACTGCTACCGAAAAGTAACTGTACCCTGATGGCCCTCCAAAGATCATTTTCCAGATGAACAGAAACTAGAGCCACATCAGTAAAGTAGAAAAAGACCTTTCTGTTTCAAATTCCTCACCAGCCTCCATATCCATTTTTATTTTCTTTTTGTTAATATCAGTTAAGTGCTTAACATATTTGATTCCTATGAGCCTTCTAAGAAGCTCATGTCCATCACCACGATTCTACATCTTCACGATCTTCCCCCAGAGTCATTTCCTTCTGGGAAGACAATTAAAGGGACTAAAGCTGTCATTCACCCAACTCTCCAAACACGCCCTAGGCACAATGCAGTGAATCAGACACAGTTCCTGTGCACAAGCAGCCTGTGGCCTTTGCCAAAATCACCTGCCCAATGTTATAAGAACAATGCGGATACAGTGAGATGAAAGCTCAGAAAAGGATCCACTTAATTCGCAGGGAAGGGTGGGGCAGGGAGGAGAGGAAGGAGAGGCAGCATCTGCAAGTTCTCAGAGGTCAGTGTGGTGGACCAAAGGTGCGTGAGGAGGGTGGACAGAGGCCAGATAGGGTGTCAGGGAGTGGATCAGGAAGGGCTTTTGTGGGATGCGAAGGTATTATTATCACCATTATTTTGAAAAGGTAATTGACTGTTTAAACAAAAGCAACGCCAGTGTAGTGTGGGGGTGAGACCATATGTAAAAGTAAAGTGGAACGCTGACGATGGCATAAAGCCCGGGAGGGGAGAAATGTAAGTGCACTATTGTGAAGTTCTTATGCTACACGTGAAGTGGCATAATACCACTTAAAGGTAGACTGTGCTAAGTTAAAGATGTAAAGCAACCACTAAAATAACAAAACAAAGAGTTATAGCTAATATGCAAACATAGGAGATGAAATGGAGTCTTAAAAAAAATACTCTATTAAACTCAAAGAAGGCCGAAAAAAGAAACAAAGAACCGATAGGAAAAAGACAAAACAAATACCAAAATGGTGGATTTAAATCTAATCATATCAATAATGTAAATTATTTAAACATTCTAATTATAAGGCAGAGATTGTCAGATTGGAAACAAAAGCAAGACCCAACTATAGATGGCCTACAAGAAACCCCTTTAAATACAAAGAAACAAATAGTTTGAAAGTCAAAGGAGGGAAATACCTATATACCATGCTAACATCAGTTAAAATAAAGTTGGAGTGGATGTATTAATATCAGACAAGTAAATTTCAGAGCAAAGAACATTACCAGGGATAAAGAAGGTCATGTCATACTAATAAAACAGTCAATTTATCAGAAGGACATAATAATCCTAAACTTCTATGTACCCAATAACAGAGCTTCAAAATAAAAGAAGGAGAAACTGATAGAATTGCAAGGAGATATAGACGCATCTACAATTACAGCTGAAGATTTCAAAATCCCTCTCTCAATACCTGATACAACAAGTACACAGCAAATCAGTAAGGCTATGTAAGACTTGAACAATACTATCAACCAACTTGACCTAATTGACATTTATAGAACACGCCACACAACAACAGCAGAACACACAGTCTTTTCAAGTGTACACAGAATATTTACCAAGATTGATCATATTCTGAGTCACAAAACAAGTCTAAATAAATTTAAAAGGATTCATGTCATAAAAGTGTATTTTCTGACCACAATGGAATGACATTAGAAATCAATAACAGAAGGAAATTTGGGGAATTCACAAATATGTGGAAATTAAACAACATGCTCCTAAATAACCCAAGGGTCAAAGCAGAAATCAAAAGGAGAATTCAAAAGCATTTTGAACTGAATGAAAATGAAAACAGAACATGTCATAATTTATGGGATGCCACTAAGACAGCACTTGAGGGAGAATCTAAATGCCTATACAGTAGAAAAGAACAAAGTTAACAAATCAGTGATCACCACTTCCACCTTAAGAAACTAGATAAAGAAATTAAACCTACAGTAAGCAGAAGAAAGGAAGTAATAATGATCAGAGTGGGAAATCAATGAAACAGAAAACAGGAAAGAAAGAGAAAACAATGACACCAAAAACTGGTCCTTTGAGAAGATGAATAAAATTGACTGATTCAGAAAAGAGAGAGAAGACATACATTACCAATATCAGAAATGAGAAAGGTGTTATCACTATAAATTCTACAGATAGTAAAAGGATAATAAGGGAACATTATAAATAATTTTATGCCAATAAATTCAACAACTTAAACAGATAAATTTCTGGAAAGACACAACTACCAAAGCTCACTTAAGAAGAAAAAGATAGCTTGGATAGTCCTATAACTATTAAAGAAATTAAATTTATAGTTAAAATCTCACAAAGAAAAGTCCAGGTCTAGATGGTGTCACTGGTGAATTCTAACAAGTATTTAAGGAAGAAATAAACTCTCCCCCAAAACTGAGGAACCAAAAAAAAAAAAAAAAAAACACAAACCTGTTGCCTCAAGTTGATTCGCCGACTCATAGTGACCCTATAGGACAGAGTAGAACTGCCCCATAGGGTTTCCAAGGAGTAGCTGGTAGATTCAAACTGCTGACCTTTTGGTTAGCAGACGTAGCTCTTAACCACTACACCACCAGGGTTTCCAAAAACTAAGAAGGAGAGAACAATTCTCAACCCATACCAGGAGGCCAGCATTACCCTGATTCTAACACCTGGGAAAGACAAAAGACTAAAACTACAAACCAATATCCCTCATAAATATTTATGCAAAATTTCTAAACAAAATTTGGAAATCAAATCCAACAATATGTAACAAAGATAATACATCATGTCCCAGTGGAATTTATCCTGGGAAAACAAGTTTGAGTTAACATTCACAAATTAATCAATCACCATGTTAACAGGCTAAAGAAGAAAAATCACATGATTATATCAATTGATGCAGGAAAACTATTTGACAAAATCTAACATCTGAAGAGTGAAGGATTGATGCCTTTGAATTACGGTGCTGGTGAAGAATATTGAATATACCACGGACTGCCAGAAGAATGAACAAATCTGTCTTGGAAGAAGTACACCAGAATGTTCCTTAGAAGCAAGGATGGTGAGACTTCATCTCATGTACTTTGGACATGTTGTCAGGAAGGACCAGTCCCTGGAGAAGGACATCATGCTTGGGAAAGTGGAGGGTCAGCAAAAAGAGGAAGCCCCTCAACGAGATGGACTGACACAGTGGCTGCAAAGATGAGCTCAAGCACAGCAACGATTGTGAGGATGGTGAAGGACCAGGCAGTGTTTCGTTCTGTTGTATATAGGGTCACTATGAGTCAGAGCCAACTCAGTGGCACCTAACAACAACAACAACATCCATTCCTGATAAAAACTCTCAGCAAAGTAGAAGTAGATAGGAACTTCCTTAACTTGATAAAGGGCAGCTACACAAAGCCTGCAGCTAACATCATTCTTAATGGTGAAAAACTGAAAGTTTTCCCAAGATCAGGAACAAGACAAGAATGTCTGCTCTCACCCCTTTTATTCAACATTGTACGGGAAGTTCTAGCAAGAGCAATAAAGCAAGAAAAAGAAATTAAAGGCATCCAGATTGGAAAGGAAGAACTGGAACACTCATACACTGCTGGTGGGAATGTATACCAGTGCAATTACTTTGTAAAACACTTTGGCGATTTTCTAGAAACTCAAATGTACGCCTACCATATGATCCATCCAGTCTGCTCTTAGGTATTTACCCAAGAGAAAAACAAATATATGCCCATACAAAGTCCTGTGCATGAAAAGTTCATAGCAGCTTTATTTGTAATCGCCAAGAGTAGAAACAACCCAAATGTCCATCAGCAGAAGAATGGATAAGCAAACTGTAACATATCCATACAATGGAATACTATACAGCAATAAAAAGGAATGAAACACTGATCCATGTCACAATATGGATGAATGTCAAACTAATCATGCCGAATGGAAGAAGCTAGACAAAGAAAGAGTACATACTCTATGATTACGTTTCTATAAAACTCTAGATAACATAAACTAGTCCACAGTGACAGAAAGCAGATCAGTGATTATTTGGGGATGGGAGGTGGGAAGGGGCAGGAGTCCAACAAATGAGTGAACTGACATTACAGTGAGTGTCTCATCAGGAAAAGGCAGGTGCCTCTTCTGTAAGTAATGCCACCTAATGCAATTGGAGCATAAGGCGATCCTAGGCAGTCTTCTAGCTCTTAAAGTCATGACGACGCTGGTAAGAATCAGCGGGCCCAGTCCATTTCCCCCCTAATTAAATCGGCCCGGCTCATCTCCAACCCAGCATCACCTGTGCTCGCCAATAAAATGCCATTTCAGTTTCTGGATCTCTATAAGCCAAGTGTACTCATTAAACTTACCAATGGCCTTGATTGATTCTCCTGGAAAAAGCGGAGCTTCTTCCATCTGTGCCAGCTTATTCCCATCCCTTAGAGCCTGGCAAAAACAAAACAGGAAGCAATCTCACTTTCCATTTGTATTCCTGGGATGAATTCTGGTGTGCTGTGCTCTTGCTATGAGGCTACAGAAGCGTGCAATACGTATGCCCCCTCCCCTCCCCCCTTTAAAGACAACTTCAAAGCTCAGCATCACAGGACACCATGCTGCATATTCTAGCGAATGGTTACAACGTATTTAAGTCTTACAGTTAGAAAGCATTAATACAGAAATGGCTTGACATGACAGATAGATACTGTAATCACTACACAGATAGCTAGAAGGTGCCTCCAGAATTTGGAAAAAAGGTTACCTTCTGAGCACGAAACCAGTACAAATCCACATTAGATGCAGGTGCTGAGCTAGCGGGAGCAATGACCCAGCCTATGTGATGGTTTGGGAAACATCTAACTGAAGTAGCGAGGGAAAGGTCTCAGGCCACTAACGTAACTAAGGAAAGGCGTAGACTTGCATTGCAGCTGGGCTGCGTGCATGCGTGCGTGCATGTGTGTGTACAAAGTGCACCACAAGAGGGCGTGGAGAGTGGGATCGTCAGTGTTCTCCAAGCCAGGTCACGAGCGCCTGCACGCTCATCTGGCAGACAAGAGTCTTTCAATCAGTACCTCGGGGAGGGGCTTGCTCATCAGGCATTTCAAGCCAATTCACTTCGTGCTGATTCTGCGCTCACTCAGCACATTACTAATGGATGGTTACAGTGATAAGGGACGCCTGGGATGGCTGGAAAGCTACATGCCCGCGTTTCTACCGACCAGATAGGCACTGTGGTCCAGTAGCCAGTCTCTTGTGAGCTAGGTTGGGTGCTCGTGCTCACTGCTCATTGCCGTCGAGTCCATTCCGACTCATAGTGACCCTGTAGGACAGAGGAGAACTGCCCCATAGGGTTTCCAAGGAGCACCTGGTGAGCTAATCTCTTAATGGCGGATAACTCAGGGGAGCTGAGAAAATGGTGTTCTTGAACTACAAAGCTAGGGGCCAGAGCCTGAAGTCGGGGGCCCACGCCCATCCCAAGGCGCTGCCACACCCTGAGATCTGCCAAGTAAACCAGTCACCGTTTTCTCGGCATCTCTAACAGCAAGTGTCGTGAATAAAAATAAGGTGATCAAAAATTTAAAAAAAAAACAAACAGCAATTCCCCAGGTGTGTGTCATTGACCGTTAATTTTCCCCAAGAGATGTGAACAGGTCTTCTTTTTTAAAAAAGTTTGAGAGATGCTGGGTTAAAGGGAACAAGTTAGACTGGTGTCTTTAGAGCGGTAATGCACATTAAATCCGCAAGAGGGCGCTAGAGGATGCACATACCCCATACCTACTTGATCAGGAACTGCTTTTTCTAAGGAGCATCTGCTAACCTCGGAAGGACACTAGTGTGCTGTGGTCACAGGTCGGACAATATTAAGTGTTCAGCATAATTTTGCAAACCAATCAAAATATTTACAATCGATGTCTTTTATAATCCTAATCTAAATGACTGAAAATTCAAAATTAATTGTTTCTCAGTTTTACGAGTATTCAGTATGTTTTCTTGAAGGGAATTAAAGGTTAATTTAAAAATACTACACACAGTAGTTTCATCGAAATTATATAAAAGAAAGAAAAAGTAAATATATAAGTATGACATGCTAAGTGTTGATCAGGGATATGTAGTCTGTTCTACTGGGAGGGCCCGTCTGCCTCTTCATCGAAATATGCACATTTAAAATACCGCGGGTTAGACTTCATTTTTTCCTCCACACAGTTGGTTCACCTTAAATTTTTATTCCAGGTTGGCTTTTAAGAGGCTTTTCTGCAAAAACATTTAGAGAGCTAACACATTAAAGGGGACGTGGAGAAGTGTTTATGGGTTCATTTTTATACCCACACCTGATAATAAAGCATAGCACAATAGTTAGACTTTTAAATTTCCGGTGTTAGAAACACTAAAAGATCACTAATCTTAATAGAAGCCTTAATTTGAAAGTCTGCTTTCCTTAATTTATTGCCTGAACTAATGCCTGCCTAATTTTATAGCATAGTTATAAAGTGAGAAAGCTATTTTAATCAATATCAGAGTTTTAAATTACTTCAAATGTTACGTTGTTAAAGCTCTTCTAGTGGCTAAACATTATCATCTATTATATGGACTTAAATCCCTTAACACTAATGTAACTTGTATTTAAAAATAAATGGGGATAGACTATTTTTTAAATATACTAAAGCAAGCTGTTCTAATCAACTGAATCTGGAGGGTAGGGGAGGAGAGGACTCACTTTACGCTTTATGGCAAACATTTCAAAGTCCTCAACCCAGGACTCGCTAATAAAATGTTGCCTATGAGAGACAACAGTGATTGGGGCCATTTGGAGAATTCACAAGGCTCTCAAGACCGAGGCTGAGGAGCAAACGTTTCTCTTCCAACGGCCATGCCATGTTTGGCTTGAAAAACCTGTACAATTCTATGAGCATGAATGCGTTGGTGAGACAAAAATGGCGAGACAAACCCCCCACTCTTAATAACTGAGTCTAGGATATGCTTTTTCGATGAGGAAGAACTATCAGAATAAAACAAACTAAGGAAAACAACACAGACAGCACTGCTTCAGATTTCCTCATAAGAGGTTCATTTTGTCAGGGAAATAGTTTCAGCTTTAGGATAGGAGCTCAGGAGGAGAAGAGTCTTTAAAGGCTCATTTTTGGTGAGTACAGCAGATTCCCTTTATAAAGCTGTGTTAGGAGATGGGATTCACACTTGGCTACATTAAGCATTTACTGCAACAACTATGTTGCACAGGACATGATTTGACCCTTGATTTATCCAACCCATGTACAGCACGATCAGAGAATGGGATCTTCTGAGTTAAATTTGATCTCAAGAACATGCCCATTCCTCTTGCTGCCTTTGTTCAGAGTGTTGCCAGTTGGTTCCCTCTGATGATCTCATCAAACCCTGTTATGGTGACCCTCGAGGTCCAGCCGAAGGTCCTCCAGCTCCCTCAATGTGTCCCTGACTGCTCCAGCCCACAGGAGTCCCCTGGCCTCTCCACGTCACTCGTGCTAATACCTGAACACCACTTTTCTCCTCACCCTAAATCTAAGCTGCCAGGTGGATAATTTGTGAAATAGCTGCATGCCAAGTAGGGGGCTTCCAACAAGGCTCAAGGTGCTTCAGGGTCACCAACGGAGGGTGGGGTTGGGTGGGGTTGGACAAAGGCAGCTCTGAGCACCTGGGGCTGCCCAGGCTTCCCTGGAGCTGCTCTTTGGTCAGTGTCACATACTGCGTTTCTGCATAAGCTTTAGGAAAAGGTCTGCTGCTTTAAGACCTATAGTGTCTACAGCAGTACTGAGCAAAGAGTAGGCACTCAAGAATATTTGATAAATGATTATTCCAATTGGGAAATATAAAACATATGGACTTATTCCACAAATACCTACTAGACGCCAGGTACTGTGCTGGGCACAGACCATGAAAATTTGAATAAAGTCCACACCCTCAAGGAACACCCTTAGCAGATGCATCTGTCCCCTTTTAAGTCTTGTGAAGCACTTCAGCATCCAGCAGTGACTGTGGGTCATTAGTCTTAACATCAATAACCTTATCTGGGGAAACCAAGAAGCACAGATGAACAAGTTTCTGGTTGACAAAATGTTGGATAAACCAATTTTTGCAAATAATGTCATAATGGATCTACCAAACTTGGACATGAAGACACTACTGTAGTGGTAAAAGCATTTGGAAAGCAGTGCTTATTATCTAGAACTCTAGTATGAAATGGCTTCTAAATACACGGTCTGTAGCTACAAAGAGATGAACACGTAGAACTTGCCACCTGATCAGCTTCAGCTTCAGAAGGGTAGCCATTGTGTTCTTCCTGAATCTCCTGCACAGCACCAGGTGCATGGACAAGAAAAGGCAGAGGAGAAAGAGAAACACGTGCAAACAGACAGGTGAAAGGACAGAATTTCTTTCATAAGGAGACAGTAAGCATGTAAAAGTCGACACACCTTTCACGGCTTTCCAACTCACAACATTGTCCCCCTTGGAGTTAAGGAAATAACGTGTAGGCCATCTATAGCATCCTCAGCCTAAAATGGAGTATCTAGTCTGTGTTTGTGTCGGGGTAGAGAAATGAAAAGCAAACCAACATCATGTATTTCAAAGAATGCACCGTCTTCTTAAAATCAAGCAATATTCTCGCATATAGCAAAGAAACAAGATAACAGACACATAATGTGTTCATAGAAACTAAAGCATACCACAGAAACCACCAAGGGCAAAGTCAAGCCAAAATACAAAGCAAGTTCATAGACATGTATTTTCAACACAGTGTTTATATTCTCTAAAGAACTATTATATTGCCCAGGGGTCAATTACAGTGGTAATAACAAAATCCCAGATTATGTAAGTGTGTATAACACACAAACATACACACGTGCATGCGTGCACGCATATATCACATGCTGGCCATATGTATGTATGTACATAATATGCATGCATTATATAGATATATCTGTTACCTCATTATTTATTAAATATTGTGATTTATGAAGAAATGTCATATTAAATATTTCTAATTATTGTATAAATATGCTTCAAAGAAACAGCTAAAAGGTCAAATTTGCTTATTTAAATTTTTAAAAATTTGTTCCAATCCCTTTAAAAGCATACTGTTCTTAATTTCTTCAGAGAATCAACTATGTTTTGAAACTTTAAAATTGGACTTTTAAAAAAATTTTTTTTATTGTACTTTAGATGAAAGTTTACAGAACAGTTTCTCATTAAACAGTTAGTACATATTTTTTTTATGACAATAGTTAACACCACCACAACATGTCAACACTCTCCCTTCTCAACCTTGGGTTCCCTATTACCAGCTTTCCTGTCTCCTCCTGCCTTCTAGCCCTTGGCCCTGGGCTGGAGTGCCCCTTTAGTCTCGTTTTGTTTTATGGGCCTGTTTTGTAATCTTTGGCTAAAGGGTGAACCTCAGGAGTGGCTTCATTACTGAGCTAAAAGGGTGTCTGGGGGCCATACTCTCAGGGTTTCTCCAGTCTGGTCAGGCCAGGAAGTCTGATCTTTTTTTGTGAGTTAGAATTTTGTTCTACATCCTTCTGCAGCTCTGTCCAGAACCCTCTGTTGTGATCCCTGTCAGAGCAGTCAGTGATGGTAGCCGGGCACCATCTAGCTGTACTGGACTCAGTCTGGTGGAGGCCTTGGTAGCTGTGCTCCATTAGTCCTTTGGACTAATCTTTCCCTTGTATCTATCTTGTTTTCTTCATTCTCCCTCGCTCTCGAAGGGGTAAAATTGGACTTTTAGTTTAGTAGGTGGTATAAAGAATATGAATACTGAGGTAACAAGATTATAATCCCTTTGTAAAGATGTGTAAGTCTTTGGGGCTGAAAATATTAAAATTTAGGATAAATGTATTTTCATTTCATGAAACTTTGGTTCCAATGACTATATTTCTTAAAAGCAACCAGTGAAGAAGTAGCAAATCTCTAAAAGTAAAGTACAATAGCAACTTAACACACTTTTATGTTTTCTCATCAGATTGAATTTAGTACACAGTTGGGACTGCTATCCCTCAAAGCAGTGTAATTTTAAAAATGCAGCCAATGCTTTGAAATTTCCATTTTTAAAGTATAATGAAAAATGGAATCATTCTTTGATAAAAATTTTTAAAACAGACAAATGGACAAGCAAACAAACAAAAAAACCCAGCATTTCAAAGTCCATGCAAGTGTAAAGCCAAACACTAATATTTAACAATGTGAATCAAAGAAAGAAAATAATTCCCATCAGCAAAACAAGATTAAAAGAAGATAAATCAACTAGAATAACAAGAGTTTGATTTAACCTGCTTACTTTTATACTACTTCATTGTCTTCAATAAGATTAAAAATTGTAAACTTGAAGTCATTGAATTCTACTTTGAAAATCCACATTGTTTTCATTTAATGGAAAATAGGTTAGTTTTCAACACCTGATACTAAGGTTTAAATGCATGCAAATTACCAATCTTTGTCTTGCTTTATGCATGTTCTGAAATAAAGGGAGGGAAAATGTAAGATATAACCCACTGGTTGTTAACAGCTACCTGTGTATTTTCAGAAATACTAGATGGGACTGATTTTGCTAAATTTATCTTCAAGATTAGCACTTCTGCTTTTTGGGTTCAACATGCAAACACAAGCGTGAGTTGAAATCTTAGGTAGGTAGGATGGACAACAATTGACCACTTTTGGGGAGCAGCTAAAATCTTTAGCGTGAATTACACGATAAACACAGGACTCTGCAGGCCTAGCCGTATAAGCCCAGCTAAGAACATCCATTTGGGCAGAATGCCCGTAATACCACACAAGTCAGTACTGCACTCTGGTGACAATTTTAATGTCCTGCCCTCACACACACTGGCTTTTACTGCACATAAAAACACTGTAACAAATAAAGCATTTCTGGTGAACACTTAAAGCTATGACAGGCAGAGCAAATTGATCTGAGGGACTCATAAAACCAGTGAGAAGAAGGTAAAGAACACTAAGCAGACTCAGTGTTCAGTAAAGCACAGAGACACACAAGGAGGAGGCCCATCTGCTGAAAGCCAAACATCCTTACCCTTATATCAGGCCTCCTGAAAACCTGTTAGTTAAAATACAGAACATCAGCATCGTGGACATGTCACTATTGATCTGTGAAAGATGCCATTAAGTTGAATAGCCCATTCCCTAAGAAACATCATACCCCTCTAAATAAAACCAACCAGATCAATCCTAACACATTTGCCCTTGAAGTTTCATTCGATAGCAAATCAATCCTAACACATTTGCCCTATCATTTTCAGGCAAGTCTACGATTTGGAGAAACAGATTGCCCGTAGGCTAAGACAAACCACATTATTTTAAACACAAACCCCTTCTGCCAAGTACTATTATAAGCTATTGTGAACAGGCTGTGTTTGAAAAGTTCATTTGTACGTCTGTTTAGAATACTGAATGCATTTTCCCCATAGGAATAATGATATCAAAAGGTGGTTATGCTCCCAAAGTAGGCAAAACAAAACAAAACAAAAACAGAAAAACCCTATAGCTACAGCATTCACGGAGTCATAAAACCTAGTTAACCACAAATCTTAACCTGGCTTCTATTGAAGTTATATTTCCAATTCCTATTTGGGACTCCAGAATCACATCTTTGCGCTGTGCCACCCCATCTGCATGGGGAAGGGGAAGGGGAAGGAAGCTGCTGGGGGGAAGGGGAAGCCGGCTGCCCTGGAGGGAGGGGCTGCTGGCCCGTGTGAGGGGAAGCCAGGCGTTGTTAAATCAGGGCACTGATTTCAGCAACACAATTCCTGTGGTCCCTAGCCTGCGAATCTTAACTGAACACGCAGCACACGCACTCAGAAAGCCCACAGAACAGGACAGAACTTTTGAAAAGTGAATAGTGCTAATAGTCTGGAAAAGACTTCGTCTCAGTTCCCCATTCCAAAGTCTAAAATTCCATAATCTCACCACTGTATGCTCTATGAGAAATAGATTTTTAAAAAAACTTCAGAGGTTCTTAATAGCTTTATAGACTTCACTCGGGATGGATAAGAAGATCACACGAATACAAAGATAGAGACTTCAAAAACACCTTTGTATCATCATTATAAACTATTATTTGAAATTTAAAAGAAAGTATTCTGAATTAAATGATGCTATAGCTCAAAGAGAACTAAAGCCCATATGTTCCTAAACATGGACAATTTAGACTGAGAAGCTTAAACCTGGGAGGTTTTTTTTTTGGGGGGTGGGGAGGGGTGTGGTAATGGTTTCATCAGTGTCCACATATGTCAAAACTTATCAAATTGAACCCTTGAAATATGTGCAGTTTATTGTCTATCAATTATACCTCAAGAAAGCTGATAAGAAAAATAAAAAACAATGACACAGCACTACACACCTATTGTTGTTAGGTGCCAAACCCGTTGCCATCGGGTCGACTGCGACTCATAAGGACCCTATAGGACAGAGGAGAACTGCCCCATAGGGTTTCCAAGGAGCGCCTGATGGATTTGAACTGCCAACCTTTTGGTTAGTGGCCGAGCTCATAACCACTGCGCCACCAGGGCTCCCACACACCTATCAGAATGGTTAAAACAAACAAATGACATCACCAAATGCTGGTGAGGATGTGGAGCAACAGGAACTCTCATTCGTCAATAATGGGATGCAAAATGGTATAGCTGCTTTGGAAGTCAGTTTGGCAGTTTCTTACAAAAGCTAAACATAGTCTGACCATATGATACAGCAATTTCTCTCCCAGGTAACTCTCCAAATGAGTTGAAAACTTCTATCCACACAAAAACCTACACATGAATGTTTATAGCAGCTTTATTCATAATTTCCTAAAACTAACTGGAAGCAACCAAGATGTCCTTCAACATATGAATGGATAAACAACTTTGGTACATCCATACAACAGAACATTATTCAGCAATAAAAATAAATGAGCTATCAAGCCACAAAAAGACATGGAAGAACCTTAAATGCGTATTGCTAAGTGAAAGAAGCCAGTCTGAAAAGGTTATGTATGATTCCAACGATATGACATTCGGGTGGTAAACCTATCAGCGGTTGTTAGGAGCGCGAGGGGGGAGGGATGAATAGGTGGAGCCCAGGGCATTTTTAGGGCAGTAAGACTATTCTGCATGGTACTGTAACAGTGGCTGCATGACCTTATGCATTTATCAAAACCCATAGGACTGTACGACACGAACAGTGAACCCGCATGTCAACTCTGGACTCCAGTTAACAATAATGTATCCATACCGGGTCATCAATTACAAGAAAAATACCACAGGAATGCAAGATGTTAATAACAGGAGAAACTGTGAGGGGCATATAGGAACCCACTGTATATCTGCTCAATTTTCTGTGCCTAAAACTGCTCTAAAAAATAAAGTCTATTAATTTAAAAAATAATAAAGTAATACAAGCGTATATGGCAATTTAAAAAAAAAAAACTCAAAATGGGACAAGATAGAACGTCTCCCTGCCTCTCCCTCCCAGAGCTTCACCTCCCAGTGATAGCCACTTTTAACAAGATCTATTTTAATTTTCTGAGGATTGCCTCAGTAACTGTAAATATGGTTACACTTCTATGTCTTGATTCGTCAACTTCAAACAGTTTTATCTATTGACCTCCTATTTTAAAAGATGAGAAAACAAACTTTCTCAAACTACACCCTTCTTCCTAATCTCTGCTGATTGAACTTCTAATTTTTAGTTCTTTTGTTATTTGCCTTCAACAGCATCATCATCATAAAAAATACTCATGAAATGATTTTTTGGTAAATGCCTACCTCTTTTCTCTCTCTCTCACACACACACACACATACACACACACACACACACACTATGCCTGGTGCTTTTTCCTCCCTATTCCCCCTCACCCCATCCCCTGGTAACCACTAATCTTCTTTTGTCTAGATGGATTGACCTATTACAGATATTTCATATAAATGGGATTATACAATATTTGTCCTTTTGTGTCTAGCTTCTTTCACTTAGCATGTTCTCAAGGTTCATCCATGCTGTAGTATGCATCAGGACTTCTTTTCTCTTCATGGCTGAATAACACTCGCTCGTATGTACAGGCAGTCCCTGAATTATGAACGTCTGACTTACGTACAACCTGTAGTTACAAACCAACCCCTGTAAAGCCTGTTATATTAAAAATTCAAGGTACACACAATGATTCGTAAGAACAAATGGGAGCTACTTTGCCACACACATCAAAACACTATTATTATTACTATATTATTTGTTAAAGATGTTTTAGTGTATCTGGAAGTGTTTGCTTAATGTTTTTTATGCACAGAAAGGTACACTATATACTAAGACAAACATTTGACCGACATCAGATACGAGCCATACCTAACTGGTCTGACTTACATACAAGTTTGACTTAAAGACAGACTTCGGGACAGAACTCATTTGTATTCCAGGGACTGCCTGTACTACATTTTGCTTATCTGTTGACAGGCGCTTGGGGTGGTTCCACCTTTTGGCTATTGTGAATAATGCTGCAGTGAACACTGGTATACACGCGTCTGTCTGAGTCACTGCTTTCAATTCTTTTGGGTATATACCTCGCAGTGAATTGCTGGGTCATATGGTAAATCTAAAAGGTTGCTATGAGTCGGAATCGACTTGATGGCAATGGGTTTGGTTTTCAGTATGGTAACTCTATGCTTGCCTTTTGAAGGAAATGCCAAACTGTTTTCTACAGTGGCTGCACCATTTTACATTCCCACCAGAAATGGGTGAGGGTTTGAATTTCTCCACATCCTCATCACAATAACATTTTTATGGAAATATCGTCTATTGCAGGACCAGATAGTGCAATTGGGCCTTATACAGAGGAGATATGACTTGTTGCCACTGGAAACAGAAGATAACTTTAAAGTTTGGACAGGGGTAGGATGATAATCTGCTTTTAAACTCACATAATTCTTTAACAATTGTAACCAAATTCTCTGTATTTGTGGTATGAGAAGGGGAAGGTCATAGAGGGTTACCTGAAAGTCTCTACGTTGATACCCATGTGTTTCTCTCTGGTTCAGTTCATACCTTTCCTGAAAGAAGACATTTCAGGCACCCAGAAAGGATCATTTTGTTCTTGAATCTGATTCTAATTGAAGCTAGAGGAGAGAACAGTGGTTTTAAGTCAAGAGACATGGGGGTCGGTTCTCAACAGCCCTTTGTGGTGCTTAGAGTTGGATTATATAAACCTCATTAGAAGGCTTCAGAATGCGTCTCCCTAACCAGGGATTAGGGAAGCAAATTGGCACAGTGGTTAAAAGAATCAGCTCTGGAATCAAATCCCGACTTCTCCACTCCCTGGCTGTCAGACCTCAGACAAGCCATACAATCTTGAAGAGTTTTGATCTCCTTGTCTCTAAATTGGTGATGCTAAGCACGCCTCCCACGCAATGTTGGGAAGGGTTCAGTCAGTTTAGGTAACTATACCTGGGGTGGCATAAGTACTCAAGAAGTGGGAATTGTTAGTATCAGTACTTGGGTAATGTCATGGATTGAACTGTGTCCCCCAAAAATATCTGTCAACTTGGCTGGGTCATGATTCCCAGGATTGTATGATTGCATACCATTCTGTAATCTGATGTGATTTCCTTATGTGTTGTAAACTCGATCACTGTGATGTAATAAAACAGATTAGCGGCAGTTATATCGATGAGGTCTACAAGGTTAGATAGTGACTTAAGTCAATCTCTTTTGAGATGTAATAGAGAGAAGCAAACACAGAGACATGGGGACCTCCTACCACCAAGAAAGCAGTGCCGGGAGCAGAGCGTGTCCTTTGGACCTGAGGTTCCTGTGCTGAGAAGCTCCCAGACCAAGGGAAGATTGATGACAAGGACCTTCCTCTAGAACCAACAGAGACAGAAAGCCTTCCCCTGGAGCTGGTACCCTGAATTTGGACTTGTAGCCTACTGGACTGTGAGAGAATAAACTTCTCTTCGTTAACGCCATCCACTTGTGGTATTTCTGCTATAGCAGCACTAGATGACTAAGACAGGTAACCTTTTCAGTTGTCGCATCTCAGCTTTCCCAACTTATACCACAACTATCTTGACC